GGCCTGCTGTATTCATCCAGCTCTGCACCTTGTTATCTCAGATTCTCCAGCATCTGCAGTTCCTGCTAAGAAGGGTCTAGGCCCAAAACGTCAGCCTTCCTGCTCCTCTGATGCTGCTTGGCCTGCTGTGTTCATCCAGCTCTGCACCTTGTTATCTCACTTGGACAGTTGGTCTAGTTGGTCCATGTGGTTGGTTCAGTTCAGTTTCAGGTAAACTGTAGGCCCAAGGATGTTGAGAATGGAGCATTCCGTTATGGTAATACCACTGAATGTCAAGAGGTGATGGTTAGGTTTTCTCCTCTTGGACATGTTCATTGTTTGCCACTTGTCAGCCTAGTCTCTGATATGGTCCAGGTCTTCCTGCATTTGGACACGGAATGCTTCAGTAGCTGAGGAGCTGAACAGTGTGCAATCATCAGTTAACATTCCTACTTCTGACCTTATGATGTAAGGAAGAACACTGATGAAGCAGCTGAAGATGGTTGGGCCTAAGACCTTTTGCTGAAGAACTCCTTCAGGGATGTCCTGGAGCTGAGGTGACTGACTTCTAATCATCACAACCATCCTTGATGCCAGGTACAATTCTGAGCAGTGGATAGTCCCTCTATCCTCACCTAATTCCCAATGCCTCTAGTTTTGTTAGGCCTCCTGGATGTCACACTTGTAAAATGTGGCCTTGATGTCAAGGGCTATCACTTCTACATCACCTCTGGAATTCAGCTCTTTTGCCTATTTTTGAACCACTGTAATGAGGTCAGGAGCTGAGTGAACCTGGTGGAATCCAAATTGAGCATCAGTGAACAGATTATCACTAAGCAAGTGCTGCTTGATAGCACACTTGCTGACCATTTCCAGCTCTATATTGATGATGGAAAATACACTGATGAGCAGAAATTGGCCAAGTTGGGTTTGTCTTGCTCTTCACATACAGAACATATCTGGACTATTTTCAACATTGCCTTAATAAAGATATTTTAGCTGTACTGGAACAGCTTGGCTAGGGGTGTAGCAGGTTTTGGAGCGCAGGTTTTCAGTCCTATTGCCGGAATATTGTCCAACCCATAGTCTTTGCAGCCCCAGTGCCACCAGCCTTTTGATAGCTTATTAACTAAAGAATAGAATCTGTGATGCTGCCATCGCAGAATTGACAGGGCTCAGATTACCACTGTCTATTCCTTTCAGTCCAATGCCACATGGTCCATCTGGTTTCATTCCTTTGAAGCATTTTCTTAGTTTAATACAATTGAATGAGTTATTAGGCTTCCACAGCAGATGACTGTTAATAGTCAGCCACATTGCAGTCTCATGTAAGCCAGACTGGGTAAAGACAGCACATTTTCTTCCTTGAAGGTGATGTGTGAGGCAGATGGAATTTCAGACATGGCTATCACCTAGATTTTTAATTCCAGATTTTTACCTCTGCAATGGGAGGATTTGAATTGAGGTCCTGTTGTAATGGCATATAAGTTGGCAAGATGGCCACCGGAGGCATTTTAGCTGACACAAGGTGGTTAGCGCTGCTGCCTCACAGTGCCAGGGACCCAGGTTCAATTCCACTCTCAGGTGACTGTCTGTGTGGAGTTTGCATGTTCTCCCCGTGTCTGCGTGGGTTTCCTCCGGGTGCTCCAGTTTCCTCCCACAGTCCAAAGATGTGCAGGCTAGGTAGACTGGCCACGCTAAATTGCCCGTAGTGTTCAGGGATATGTAGATTAGGTAGGCTATAGGGGTATGGTTCTAGGTGGGATGCTCTGAGGGTCGGTGTGGACTTGTTGGGCTGAAGGGCCAGTTTTCACACTGTAGGGATTCTATGATGATGAAGACGGCCACCTGACACGAGATGGCTACAAGATGTTGACAGTTACTTATAGCAGACATTCATAGCCAGACTTGTGTCCTCCATCCAGGCTCACTGGATAATGAAAGGTCTCAGTGACAGAAGACAGAGGAGTATAGTAAGTGAGGCATCCCTTTTTTGGCAAGCTAATGTAGAAGTTCCATTTAATATAAAGTAGAAGGCTAAACTGGACACACTGGGAACAAATTACTGCAGATGCTGGAATCTGTACCGAAAACAACAAATGCTGGCGATCACAGTGGGTCAGGCAGCATCCACGGAGAGAGAGCAAGCTAATATTTTGAGTCTAGATGACTCTTCAAAGTTGTTTTCTCACTTAGTTAAAACATTTTCAGGTAGTTATAAATTGCATAAACGAGTACTCACATACACACAAAATATATTTGTACGACAATAGTGGTGGTTTTAGTTTTAGCATATTAGACATTGGGAAAGTTAATTAGATGTCTGTAGACAGGCAGCTCTACGCACACAAGTATTTCTGATAAGAATGCATCCCTGAAAAACCTAGATAAGAAACATCCAGTTACAAGCATCCTGAAGTTTGTAGTTTAGCAAGAACCAAAAGAAATGTATGATCCCACAATAATCTAGACTCTTTAGGTCATTGTCATTACATATTAAACATACCTCTTGAGTATTGTGAAATTAAAACTGCAAACCTACAAACTACCATGCAGTGATTTAGTTGAATTCTTACGAACCGTAGACAGTAAAAAGAGGCCCCTTATTAGCAGGGAAGATGGAGCAGCAAATGGTGTAAACAGACAAAGTCTAAGAGGACAAAGGAGGTTGTAAAACATGGCAAATAAACAACCATTGCTTCACAGCTCAATATGCAGAACGCTGTGAAAGTGATTGAATTTTATCCTTATCAATGAGGTTTGAATATGTTTCAGAGATAGTAGGAACTGCAGATGCTGGAGAATCTGAGATAACAAGGTGTAGAGCTGGATGAACACCGTGGCCAAGCAGCATCAGGGGAGCAGGAAGGCTGACGTTTCGGGCCTAGACCCTTCTGAAGTATATAACTTTAAGCACACAACTAACTTTAGATAGGAAGCAATATTACAAATTTCATAATGTCTACCAATTATTAACATTATTTTCATCTCCTATAATGAGAGAAGTAAGAAAAATAAATTGCATAACAGAATTTGAAAGGTAGGAGCAAATTACTGCAAATGCTGGAATCTATACTGAAAACAACCAATCCTGGAGATCACAGTGGGTCAGACAGTATCCATGGAGAGACAGCAAGCTAATATTTTGAGTCTAGATGACTCTTCATCAGAGCTGAAGTGAACTGTGGAGGGGACAGCATTTACGCTATAGTTGGAGAAGGGGTTGTAGCGGTGGTGGTGTGTAGAGTGCTGGTGGAGAAAAGATATTGATAGTTCAGATTAAGTGATCAGAATGTGAGAATTGCAGAACAATGGTGTGTCTACCCACCCCAGTGTGACTGTCTTCTGTTTCAAGTCTAGCAGTGATAAATTATTGCTAATTAACGTGATGCAGCTGGCAAGTGTCTGAGAAGGAGTGTGATTATCAGTATATTGCAGTGTGGATAAATACAGTATCCTTTGTAATATCCCAAAGACTAGGGATAAAGATGTCTGGTCACATCATGAGATCATGGAAGGACTTATAGCTGTCCATACGGATGTCCATCACTGATCGTGTGTTTACAGGATTGGGTGTATAGATTCGGGTGAGGATATGTAGCTAACAATTATATTAATATTGCATATAATTATCGTACCACAAAATGAAGAAATGAAAATGAAAAACGCTGTACTTGACTGGGAGGGGCAGAGTATCTAGTGGACACTGTTCCAGGAACCTCTCCTATGCTGTATGGTAAAAACAAAGCTCTGAATAAAGATCAATTGTACTGCTAAACTAGGAACTAGAGACTCCTCTTTGACAATTCCCTCCAACAGGTCCTTAAAACATTACCTGGATTACCATGCTAGTGACAATGCCATTACACCATCTTCACTCCAATTTAGCTTTCACAAACTTCACACCCAGATCATTTACGTACAAGAATAACTAATGCCTGTCCTGATATCAAGCCGTAGCAGTCCCCACTGCATGTATCTCTCCAGTCAGAAAAGTATGCATTGATGACAACTCTCCATCTTCTGTCCTTTAATAAATTATGTAGTCAAGCTGCAATTTTAAGACCGCTTGTTAAATTTTGAAACTCAATGCTCATTCTCTTGCAATAAGTTAAGGGGCTACGTCCACTGGACAACTTTATGAATTTTTGTTGTTTCTCTGGAGAGAGATGTAGTGTTTTTTGTTGAGGTTTCTCCTGAGCAGCTCCGTGACGCAGAGCTCTGTGCTCTACTGTTTCCTGGGACGCATATCAAGACAAGACAAACATCAACTGCACCTGGAGGACCAGCAGCTCCTCTGCCTCCGCGCTTACTTCTTCAAACGTGAGCCGAACCCTCCCTCTACTGACCCCTTCTCCCACCTCCAACACACCCCCTCCTCCTGGACACCACCCCAAGGCCTCCTACCCTCCCTCGACCTCTTCATCTCCAACTGCTGTCGCAACATCGAGCGCCTCAAACTCTCCACCCATCTCACCCACTCCAACCTCTCTCCCACAGAACGTGCAGTCCTCAGCTCCAACCCCAACCTCACCATAAAACCCGCAGAGAAGGGAGGCGCAGCTGCAGTATGGCGCACTGACCTCTACATCGCCGAGGCCAGACGCCAACCCTCCGACACCTCTTCCTACCGCCCCCTTGATCATGACCCCACCCCCGACCACCAAAACATCATCGCCCAAACCATCCACAACCTCATCACTTCAGGTGAGCTCCCACCCACAGCCTCCAACCTCATTATTCCCCAACCCCGCACCGCCCGTTTCTATCTCCTTCCCAAAATCCACAAACCTGACTGCCCTGGTTGACCCATTGTCTCTGCCTGCTCCTGCCCCACAGAACTTATCTATACATATCTCGACTCCATCTTCTCCCCCTTGGTCCAGCAACTCCCCACCTACGTCCGTGACACCACCTACGCCCTACATCTCCTCCAAAACTTCCGATTCCCCGGTCCCCAACATCCCATCTTTACCATCGACGTCCAGTCCCTATACACTTGCATTCCCCATGCAGATGGCCTAAAGGCCCTCCGCTTCTTCTTGTCCCGCAGGCCTGACCAGTCCCCCTCCACTAACACCCTCATCTGCTTAGCTGAACTCGTCCTCACCCTTAACAACTTCTCTTTCAATTCCTCCCACTTCCTACAGACAAAGGGGGTGGCCATGGGTACCTGCATGGGCCTAAGCTATGCCTGCCTCTTTGTAGGTTACGTGCAACAATCCCTCTTCCGCAGCTACACTGGCCCTAAACCCCACCTCTTCCTCTGTTATATCGATGACTGTATTGGCGCCGCCTCATGCTCCCACAAAGAACTCGAACAGTTCATCTACTTCACCAACACCTTCCACCCCAACCTTAAGTTCACCTGGACCACCTCTGATACCTCTCTCTCCTTCCTGGACCTCTCTGTTTCCACCTCTGGCAACCGATATCCATTTCAAGCCTACCGACTCCCACAGCTACCCAGAATAAACCTCCTCTCACTCACCTTCCTGCAAAAATGCCGTCCCCATTCCCAATTCCCAATTCCTTCGCCCCCGCCGCATCTGCTCCCAGGATGAGGCAATTCCACTCCTGTACATCTCAGATGTCCTCGTTTTTCAAGGATCGCAACTTCCCCCCCAATCAGTGGTCGATAATGCCCTCAACCATGTCTCCCACATTTCCCACAACTCATCCCTCCCCGCAATAACAACCAAAACAGAATCCTCCTCATCCTCACGTACCATCCCACCAACCTCCGGATCCAACGCACCATCCTCCGACACGTCATCTGTAATCCAACTCCACCACCAAAGACATTTTTCCATCCCCACCCTTATCTGCTTTCTGGAGGGACCATTCTCTCCGTGACTCCCTTGTCCGCTCCACACTTCCCTCTAGCCCCACCACACCCGGCACTTTTCCCTGCAACCGCAGGAAGTGCTACACCTGCCCCTACACCTCCCCCCTCACCCCCATCCCAGGCCCCAAGAAGACCTTCCACATCAAGCAGATGTTCACCTGCACATCTGCTAATGTGGTAACCTGTATCCGCTGTTCCCGTTGTGGCCTCCTCTACATCGGGGAAACCAAGCGGAGGCTTGGGGACCGCTTTGCGGAACACCTACGCTCGGTTCGCGCCAAACGACTGCACTTCCCAGTCGCGAACCACTTCAACTCCCCCTCCCACTCCTTGGACGACATGTCCATCCTAGGTCTCCTCCAGTGCCACAACAATGCCACCCGAAGGTTGCAGGTACAGCAACTCATATTCCGCTTGGGAACCCTGCAGCCCAATGGTATCAATGTGGACTTCACAAGCTTCAAAATCTCCCCTCCCCCCACCCCATCCCCAAACCAGCCCAGCTTGTCCCCACCTCCCTAACCTGTCCTTCCTCCCACCTATTCCCTCCTCCCACCTCAAGCCCCACCCCCATCTCCTACCTACTAACCTCATCCCGCCCCCTTGACCTGTCCATCCTCCCTGGACTGACCTACCTCCTCCCTAACTCCCCACCTACACTCCCCTTTACCCGCTCCCCCCCATTTCTGAAGAAGGGTCTAGGCCCAAAACATCTGCCTTCCTGCTCCTCTGATGCTGCTTGACCTGCTGTGTTCATCCAGCTCTACACCTTGTTAGCTCAATGAAAGACACTCTTTTGGTCTGCCCAAAACTTGTTGGTCTTTTAGTGTAAAATATTGACCTCGACCACATGTTGCAGACTGGTGCATCCAAAGGTCCAGGGCTATGTGCTGAGGAACTGACTGAAGCTTGGGGCAACTGCCACCAAGGCACAGAGCGGGAATACCTCCATCTAGGGTCTTTCTGCCAAAGTGTAATGAGGGTCTATTCAGGTACCAGACCCTCTGGCTGACTCCAAGTGAACGCAAATACCATCTTGCAGGAGTATGAAATGCCCTTTTTTTGCAACTATGTAACTTTCAGAAATGTCAGAACTACAATGCTTTGGGTTTTTTCCTCTCTGCAAAGATGGTACATATATGTTTTAGAACCTTTGTACATACTTATAGATGTGATTTATGAATAAAGTATATTTTTGAAATTAAAAAAAAACCGTCTAAGATCTTTCTGCCAAAGTATAACGAGGGTCCTTTCAGTCGTCAGACCCTCTCGTTACCTCAAAACGAATGCAGTGTGTCGAGAAGAAAATGTTTTGTTTTGCAACTGCAGTGAAGCCATGTGGAAAGTCAGGAGTCAGCACAAAGGAAGAAATAAAAGTCCAATGTCTTCTGTTTTAACCCACCCCCGCAAAGAACACTCCTGGTACCTTGTGTACGCACATTAAAATGTACTTTATTCATTAAAAAAATCTTAAACAATCAAAAACTGTTGCATTTCCGAGTACATAAAAACAAATTACATCTCGAGGATCGGTCCCACGAGGATTTGAAAAACAAACCTGGCTAAAGTGGTCTTCCCTGATCCGGGCAGTCCCCTCAGTAAATAAAGGCGTTTTCTTTTTTGAAGGGGACGTCGAGGTGGTTTGCGGCCAGGTTGCTGCAAGCTCAGGTTCTGAAAGGACTGCGCTAAAAATTCCGCGGACATCTCCCGGGGCACCGCAAGAGCAGCAGCTCTTATCCATCCACAGGTAGCCTTTAAAGGGGATTAAAGTGGCGATTTCGAAAACAGCTCCTTAGGAAATGACGCAGGCTTGTGACGGAAACTGGTTGAATTAAGTTTTGTGGCTTTCTGTTTTGCTTTTTGGACATTGCAAGGTCCGTGCCCCACCCGCTCTTGACAAGAGGAAATTGTTGGAGGTCAGGGGCATTTAAACAGGGTTACATTGCATAATTAACAATTGGCGGACTTACCCCATTTTTCTCACATCAAGCAGCATATAAACAACAGGGGAACTAGATAAATACTCACGGAAAACCAGGAAGGATAAGAAAAGTAGTATTTTGGGCAGTTTTAAACTAAATACATATTTTATTTTTTAAGCCTCTTTTCCTTCAGGCGCAAGCCATGTGGAGATGCTGCTGTTGGTCTGGGTTGGACAAGGTCAAAAATCACACAACAGCAGCTCATAGGCCAAGAGGTTTATTTAAAAACACTAGCTTTGGAAGCATTGCTCCTTCCTCAGATGCAGTGAGGAGGTATCAAGACACAATTTATTAGTAAAAGATCAAAGGATCATATAACTGATGTGAATGTATTGAATAAACCTGAAATGCTGGCTGACTCCCTCCTGTTAAATCCTCAGTTAGAAAGGAGATGCAGGTTTCGATTGATTAAAATGCAAATCCCAGAATATCTTTCAAGTCACTGCCCTGAGATAATAAAGGTTTTATCAGTATATACAAGAGATGGCATCTCAGGTCAGACAATGCATTTTAGGTGTGGGGCCTTGTTTAGAATCTGTGGTTTAACATGGAGTCAGACTGGTTTTATTTCCAAAGCAGGAATTTATAAAACTCCCCATTGACTGATTGTGCCTACAAATTGTGTGCTTTTTGAACAAAATAGAATGTATCTGCAAATACAAATTCACCCCATAGATATATTTGTATGTGTGTGTACTTGTGGGCATGCACTTAGAGTGTGTGAGAGTATATGCATGAGAGAGAGTGTGCGTGAGTGTGTGTGTGTGTGACTTGAAAGAAATTCTGGGATTTGCATTTTAATCAATCAAAACCGACATCTCCTTTCTAACCCATTGAAGATTTAACAGGAGGGAGTCAGCCAACCATTTAGGTATATTCAATACATTCACATCAGTTATATGATCCTTTGATCTTTTACTTAAACATTCTGTGTCTTGATACCTCCTCTCTCACTGCATTTGAGGAAGGAGCAATGCTCCAAAGGCTTGTGTTTTCAAATAAACCTGTTGGACTATAACCTGGTGTCGTGAATTTTGACCTTGTGCACAGCACAATACTGCATAAAAACCAGCAAAGCAATATTCTAACATTTGCAGGGCGTCGGAATTGCTATAACAAATCAGTGACGGACTTGTGAGCAGTTTAAATGTGGCTTTAAATGTTATGCAGGATTTGATCAACATTTCCTTGTTTGCTGATACTTCAAATTTTAAAAAGGAGAGACTAATTAATTCTTTATATACCAACTTAACATAAAACACTTGCACATGGTGTGTAACTGATGCTAAACTGAAGAGACAGATTGAAAGGTCACCAAAAATGTGGAACAGAGATGGAGCTCCAGGGGATTTTGAACTTCGATAACGCAGTTGAGATATCGCACATTATAAATTGCAGATTGAAACCAACATCCACTCATGATGCAGAAGTTTTTTCCCCGTCAATTAATTCTGGAGCCTTGCAATGTACAAAAGTGCTACTTAATAACTGCCAATTTTCACTGCAACACTTCTTTTGTGAATTTTGTTAAAATCTCTGGATAAAGATATTGAGCGAAATAGCAACATAAATGTTTCCTTACAACTCTGAAATAATTTCTAAATAATAAACTCAGCTTTTCACTGACATTTTTGCAATATGTGTGATCTGAATGGGATGGGAACTGCAAGGAAGCCAGCATACAGTCAAAAAAAAAACCCCACAATATTATAGAAGTTAAAAATCTGAAATGAAAACCAAATCTATTGGAATGACGCAGCAAGTCAGGCAGCATCTGTGGAAATGAAAAGTCATTGATCTGAAACATTCAGACAGATGTTCAAACACTTCAGTTAATTCACTTTTTTCACATTACTAATTGGAAGGGAAATTGCTTAAAAATTGAGAGAATTTTTCTTAGTATATTTAAATATTTGTGAATAATCGGAGGAGCAATGTGGAAAATCCCACCTATAATCATACCAGTGTGAAGGTAACAATATCTGCACACTAGGCAATTGTGCTTTCAGTAAACTTTTATTTAATAAGGAAGTGAAATAGAACACTGGATCAACTGGACAGATAGTACCATGTATCCCGTTACAATAACTCAACATAGATGTTTGATTCCATTAAAAGGAAGCCACAATATTTCAACCAAAATTACTTTGAATCCTCTACAGTGCATTTTTTTCAGGCAACATGTTCTAAATCTGTCATGTTCTGAGTTTAGTCTCAGTATAAAGTACTAATTGAGATTTGAAACATGAAGGTAAAGGCACATCTGCATAGCCCATTAGAGGATGGAAAATACAATTCAACTGATTGCATTCTCTTGTTCTTATATACTTACTTTTCATTTTGTTTTTACTTTGAAAGCTTATTTTCTTAAATGTTCTTAAATTTTCTTAAATGACAAGTTAAATTAGAATGTTAGGCTTGAGATATTAAAAATTCCAAACTTCTTACATTGCTTTTAAGGTAACTGATTTATTACTTAGTGATTCCATTTGAAATTTTAAAAATGCATAAATGGAACACAATCACACTGGATATTAGCTGAAATTCAGACAAGAGTAGTCTTCACATTTATGCTTCTGATTTCTGTTCTCCTCAGATAATCTTGAAGGGCTAAACAGGAATACCAAGACAAATTAGCTATTTTTGATCATGATATGCTGTTTTTAAATCAGTTAACTGATAGGTATGTCAAAGTAACCAAGAATAACTTGCCTTAACACTTGCCCTCAATCTCTGTTAGGAAAGTATCTCTACCTAGTTCCTGCCCTTTCACGATATATCAAAGTTCAGAAACTTGATACAAGATGATCCAAAGTTATAAATCTACATGCAATTTAAAGGAAAATATTAAATTCCAATCTAAGTAAATACAAGTGACACCCCAACCATCATTGTCAAACTGGACTACTATATTGGAAATGAAATGGATCAGACAACATACAGAAATTTTACATCTCTCAGAAATAAAACAATAGGAATGGTTATCTCAAAACCCAAAACAATATATTCTGAACTTGATACATGCAACTTCTATACTATATTGACAACTTTACTGTCTACTGTGCAAGATTGTGATTATGTAGTACATAATTCATTAAAATACAGTTTGGAAATTTGATTTGTCTTTTGAAATTTTATGGAATACCTCTGTGGAAGGTCAGTGATAAGTATGTAGAAGGTGTGGGGAGTGGAAGAGTTGATGGCAAGCAAAACATGAGTTAGTGTAAAACCACAGAACTTTCCAGTAACTCAAAAAACAGGAAATTCTAAGTAAGCGAACATTGTACTTAATCTCATTTTGGTCGCTAAAGAAATATGCTGATAGTCATCTGACTGGCACATAATAATCGCACCTAGCTTCAGTAAAAGCAATACCTATGCAGCAGGGAGCAGAATGTCTTTAACTGCATCTAGACTGATGTAGCTAAGCATAGAGCAGATAATGTATTAATGAAATGTCATAAGATGGTTGGTTTATTGTGTTGTTAAGGCTCATGATCAAAATGTAATCAGACAATGGGTAAGTATGGTTAATGCATAAAAACGTGACTGTAACTGCCTGCATCAGACTGTGCAACCCACAGGTCGACTCTCCAAGCATGCAAGTAATAAAGAAGACATTGCTCAGCACATTGCCGTCTGATTATTGTTTCTTCGACACCTCTTTTATTCTGAATTTTTATCCACTAAGAATGTGTTCTAGTTATGATTACTGTTATGAAGCTTCACTGTGCTATTCAAAATTAGTCATTTGGATAGCATAGAACTTGGGCATTCCTGAAAAAAATAAACTCCTTTTTCCAAGCTTTTCATCTTATACTCATTCAGAAAATTTGTAAGAATATTGCATGAGAGAAGAGTGCTGATTGATTGGCAAGTTGACTCTCTATTGGTTTTTCCCCGATGGGTGTAAGATGAAAAGCTTTGACAAAATGTGTCCTTTCTCAACAATATTAAAATTTAGCATGAATCAAAAGTAGATGCACAATGAGAATCATTTCATCATTGAAACATTGTGAACAAAACAGAAAAATAACATTGCAGATGTGTACAATTTTGTCATCAATACTTCAAGTCCAATTAGTCCTCTTCAAATTTTCTTTTCTCACTCGCCACGAGATGAACTTTTGAGTCCAAAACATGTTGTTGAATTCATAGACAATTTTTCCCTTCATATTCTGGGAGTAAAAATAATCTGAGCAACTAAAATAAAACATAATTTTTAAATAGACCAGAAGAATAATTTGATAATAAAAGCAGTGTACCGATGACCCTTACCTGTCCATACAAAGTAACTTGTAGCTGCTTACACCAAAGCAGCCCATGTTTGAAAGACACAAAATGGCTGACAAGGACTAAACAAAGTGGGGCAGTCTGCTCTCACATTTAAAGTGAAATATAATAGTACCTTGGAATTCGGCCACTCAAGATCATACAAAGGCCCTGCAACCCATCATCCAAGACAGTTTTGATAAGATGATGCCTAAGAACAGACAAATGACTGCAGTCTCTTTAATGAAAGGATGTTGTCCCACTAAAGACATAGCACCAGGGGTGTAAATTGTAGCTCATGAACCCATCAGATTATCTTCCTAAACAGCTGCAAAAAACAACAGCTAAAGATATGTTGTAGTAATTAACTTTTTATCTACAGTATCAAGAAATAGGCTTTAGTTAAAGAA